ACAGCAAGGCAGGCTGCCCAATGAAAGCAAAAGGCATCCATCCCAAACAAAATAAAACGGCTTGAAAAGTGAAGTTGCTTTTTTTTAATCAGATGCTTAGAGGCTGAAAGACATTCCCTGTTGGAAAGAAAAGGGCAAACGCAGAGCAGGCTGGCGGCTTTCCAGGCAGTGGACAATATTGACTCTAGAATAAAATGGGTTTTGCTTACCGCTCGCCCCAGGGCAACCAGCCTCCCTGCTCTGGAATAAATCACGCAGGCGGGTGATTCCCGGGCACGGGCTGACCCTCGGGTGTGTAACCGTGTGCCATGGCACCCCCTTGCCGGACACACGGACACAGAGCCAGGGAGGGCTCCGAAGCACGCCGCGCACACGGCAGCGCCCAGCTCCTCTGCCCGCTGCCGGCTGGGGCTTCAGCCCACAACGCGTGGTGGGGGCTGGGCCAGCTCGGACTGTTTTTGGTGGGATGCTGCTCAACTCTGCATGCTCCTGGAGGGCAAAGGAAGTCGCCAACAAATAGGGTCAAAAAATGGACTTGTTAGCTACCAGCCTAAAATCAAGTCAAAAAGCTAAAGCTGTGACCTGGAAACAAGCCTTGAAAGAACTCCACTTCAACGTGAGCAGCAGAAAGGCCACTGTTTGCATTCCAAGAAGGAGCGAAAAATTAACTTTGCAACCACCAACGCTGATGCCAGTTGGTGGTGCCTTCAGGATGCCTCTGGTTAAGCGCAGCGCTGTACGGCTCCTCCAGCCCCGCAGGAGGCTGAGGGGGGAACCCTGGAAGGAGTCACTGCGCCAGTGAGGGACACAGTAAGCCAGAAAACCAGGTTTTGGGAGGGCGTCCAGGATACAGTCAAAGTGCTTCAAAGTTGTTCACACTGGATTTACCCAAGAGGAAAGAAAACCTGACCAACCGTGTCTTCGCTTTTAAATAAAAGGTGGAGACAGAGAATACTAACTGCGCAGTCCTTTAAAGAAGCACTTATCATCAGGCCTGCTTTTTTCCCCCCATATATTTCTACCTCAGGCTACCCACACCCCTTTTTAGCACTGGCAGCACTTTGCTTATGTGGCCACCGAGTCTTCCGTGATGCTTCTGTTGCCAGGACTTGTCAAAGCCACCAGACCTACCCTGTCTCCGATACAAGCTTAACCTCTGCAAGCCACGGGCCTGAAAACACCAGGCCAGAGACCCAGCTGTGAAAGACTGTCAGTAACACAGATGTCTGCCAGCAAATTACGGCTCGAGACAGCT